TCCTTCCTTCCGTCCGTCCGTCCGTCCGTCCGTCCGTCCGTCCGTCCGTCCGTCCGTCCGTCCGTCATTCTGTCATTTGATTTCTATCCCGTCCATTTAGGTCAAAGGTCTACTCTGGGCAATTTATAAATTTAAAAACAATAAAACCAATAAGCATATATTATAAGTCCAAAATGGCAAAAGTATAAGAAATTAAGATACGGCAGGAGGGGAAGCCTGCCCAAATAGCCAGGTTTTAAGTTTGTTCCTGAAAACACCCAGAGAGGGAGCCAGGCGGATTTCTACTGGCAAGTTGTTCCAAAGGCGACGGGCCACTGCTGAGAAGGCCCGGTTCCTCGTTCTTCCCTTCCGGACCTCCCTCAGCATTAGGCCCCTCAACCGCCCAGCCCGACTGGAATGAGTGACTCTGGCAGAACTGGGTGGGAGAAGGCGCTCTGCCAGATATCAAGGTCTTAAACTGTTTAGGGCTTTATATGTAATCATTAGAACTTTGAAACCAATGCGGAAACGAATGGGCAGCCAATGAGTGGGGGAAATATGGTGGTACCTTTTCCCCCCAGTAAGAAGTCTGGCTGCTGCATTCTGCACCATGTGAAGTTTCCACATCATTCTCAAAGGCAGCCCCACATAGAGCACATTACAGTAGTCTAATCTTGAGACTACAAGCGTATGGACCAAGGACTGCAACTTTCTTGGACTGCAACCCCTAGAAATCCTGGCTAGCACAGTGGGGAAGACTTCTGGGAAGTGCAATCTAACAACACCTGAGTTACCCCAAGGTTGGGAACCACTGCCATAAGCGAATGTAGATATCACTGCACACACACTGTAATACTTTGTATTGCCCATAGACAGTTCAAGACTTATTCTCCATTCTGACACTTGATTATTGCAATAGGCTGTATCTGACACTGACCATGAAGATTGTGCAGGCGTTTCAGCTAACACAATCCACTGCATTCACACTGGGATCTGACTGTGTCCCCAGCCATGACAGAACATAATTTTCACCACTTAGATATGTCTAAATATGTCTTTCTTCTCTTTGCTAATTTTGATTTACTTAGATTTTAACACAGACATACAAAATGGCTCTGAAATGGGAAATATGTAAATAAGAGATAATGGGTAATGGCAGGTTATTAGTCCAGAGAGACATTGGCCAGCATATACTTTTGGTCTCAGTGTTTCCTTCAACAATGAGAACAAGAGGGTGAAAGAGCAAAATGGGACATCAACACTGATTCAGTGACAATAGCAAAAAAGGAAGAATCAGATTAAATATAAAAAGAGCTAATGAAGCTAGTTGTAAAGGGCACAATGAACCAAAATATTACTTTTGGATGCTAATAATAAATGTCAAAACATTGGGGAATAACACAAACATATCATTAGCACTTTACAAATGTCCTCCTGGCTTACTAGCTGTCTATTATTTATGGCTGCTCTTCTTCCTCACTCTCTTTGAGTTGTCTGGTATGCAAAGGGCTCAAGAGGGAGGCGAGATCCCCTCTCCTTTATGCATGCTGCAGGGAAGTTAGGAAATAACCTTCCATCCTGCTGCTTGGAAAGGACTTCTACCCATCTGAAAACAGCAGTGGAAATATGGCTGGCAGGGCAGGGATCTATACAGCACCCTGTGTCCTGTTCACACTTGCTTGTTTGCATATGGCTGTATATATTACCTGTGTATAAGGAAAAAATGCTGGGAATTTTCCCATAAAAATCTCAGCTCTTGCATGGAATCACAGAATTACACTTCTTAGGGTGCTCTGGAAATAAAGAAAGGGCCCTTTGCTAGTTTAAGTCAGTAATGCCGATACACTGCAGAACTGGATGAGGGTACGGTCTCTCCAAACTGGGGACAAGAATACAATGGGCGTAGCTAATGAAGCATTTCCAGGAAGGTGGTGAGAAGAGAAATGCAAAACTTCAGAAACAAAGGTCAAGGCTATACATTACAAAAAAGAAGGAATTCTTCTTTGAAGAAGGAATTCCTTAACTATAGAGAGTAAATGATTGTCACAACAGGAGCTTTTCTTAAACCTCATTATACCTTGTGAACTAGCTTATTGTGTTTTGACTCATCTGCCAGAGCTAAGCACAGCTTTGCTTGCAAAGCTGCTTTCTCTAACCATCACACATCAAGGCCTAAACAGTAAATTATATCAACGTCATCAACAAGCTATCTGTAACTAAGAGTAGATGCTGAAAGAGACCGAGAAATAGCAGTGAGTGCTAATTTGGTTGTTTCAGCATGGCATTTTTCTAAAGAACAGATGGTCTAATTCAGGGTGGAGGAGAGAACTAATTCCTGCAGTCTGAGTCATCTCATTTTGGGACAAGCTTCTTGGGTGGATTGCTCTTCATGGCAGAAAAAAGCCAAAAACCACTCAACACCCTGTTCTTCACAGGCAATGATCTGTGCTTGACAAGAACACTCTGCATGTTCTCCGCCAGAGGGGGAAAAAAAAATCAAAAGTGAAAGCAGTTTGATAGCTTTTCATCATCCAGTCTGGATCTAAACCCTCTTTGTCCTGCAACAGGTGAGATGGTTGGTTTCAGAGGTTAATAGTGCTGTTCATCTGTTTTGTAAGTCAATGTGTATGTTTTGATCCTTGCAGGATAAGGAGTGAGGTTGGTGATACCATCTCAGCCCATGAAGAGAACACCTCTCTTGTATAAGGATTCAAATATATAGTAAATCTTATGCAAATGTCCCTGGGGCATATCCAAAATATCCAGACAATTAGCTGTTGAAATAAACAAGGAGTATATACCTATAGTATTATTCCAACTGAAGTCAATAGAATATTGACATTTTATTTTTGTTTGTATCATGTCCTGTCTATATATGCATTTTACAGCACATGCAATCCAGCATCTTTCAGTGGTTGAAATCTTGTTGCTGTCGTAGTGTAGTATATTGCACTACAGCAGACCCATTGAATGATTGGGGATTTGGTAAATCAGCCCCATAGGTTCTATTGATTCAAAAGGACCTGCCCCAGCTGTTGGTTACTACACTAAAGTAAGTCTATTTAAATCAGAGTATGCCTATTTAAATCAGAACTTACAGAGAAGTTGAATTCCTACTGATTCAATGGGTCTACATTAGTGTGATTTACTATGCTGAGCAAGAAGATCTCACTTACTGGCTGCTTTGTTACTACTATTTAAGTTTAAATAAAACCAGACCTTTTTGAGGGTGGTTTTTCTATGAATGGATAATAACTTATCAGAAGTCATTTCTATACAAGATGGAAGGAAAAGTAATTGAATCTTATTTGTTGTCAGCAAGTAGCCATGTTTCCGATTCTTTTGCTTTTTCCTGCTTACACACACCCATTGGTTCTAAACCATGATGCTTATCTTCTCCATCATGTTTATCCTAATACCAGTTTTTAGTATGCATAGGCATCATCAGCCCTTTCTTCAACACAGAGTGCATATACGTGGTCAGTACTTACCCAGCAGAATCAAAGATTTGGGGTCAATCTTGTATTCTGTCTGATAGGAGCGGTGACCTGTCTTATTGACGTTGGCCAGAAGCTCTTTATACAGAGTAGCTTTTACTTTCTCCACAGTTATCTCCTCGTCATGGCTTGCTGGGATTCGAAGGGCAAACCAGAAGAAGCAGGTCAACGATCCTTCCCTGACATGAAGATAATAACTATATTTACCATGTTTCCTCCATGTGTATTTATGCGTCAAGCCATTGTTATTAATGTTAGCCCTGACATGATGATAATAACAATATTTATCACTTCTCTATTTTAATTTCCATGTCATGCCATGGCTATTGGAGTTAGCCAAATAATTTCCAATAATAAGGCATAATAACCTAGCATCATGGCCAAAATACATCTAGGAAATGTATGGAGGATTCATCTGCCTTTTAAGACAAGCACCACCACAAGCATCTAAGTCTGATGGGGTGTACGGATTTCAAACTTGAAGATTCTATTTTGTTTGTTTATTAAAACACTGAGATCCACCAACCAGAGGACAAAATACAAAACAGCAAGTTAAATATAGGTGGAGGCAGCAGCAAATGGTGACTGGATGGGTTCTCAGTTACCTCCAGCACCTTGAGAACAACTCATTAGAATAACTTGCATATAAACATGCAACTATATTATATGCTAAAGCAGAAATTTTGTACAAAACTCTCAAATTAGCTAACAAGCTTCACAAAGTGAGTCAAAAGCAACCCAATAACATCCCCATTTTAAAGGTAAGGAAACATGAGGCCAAGAGATAAGGAATGTGCAATTTTTAAAAAATAAAAATTTGTTCGTTAATTGGGAGTTAGAAACCCTTGTAGACCTATTTCAGTAACTCATAGATCTACTAGAGTTGTAGATTCCAACCTTGGGTCCTCTTATTTTCTTAGACTACAACTCCCAGAGATCCTAGCCAATGCATTTAGTGGTGAAGGCTTCTGGGAGTTTTAGTCCAAGAACATCTGGTGACCCAAGGTTGGGGATCATGGTACTGGAAGATCCGAATCCATTTTTTGTCCAGCCTTCCTTAAACTCATCATATGTGGCAGGCTACAATCCAAACCAAGAAGATGCTGATAGCGATGCAAATGTGGACCAATATATACATGAGACATGGGATGGCTGGTCTGATATTGTGGCTGAAATCCTGTTCAAGTTGGCATAATCTGCAAGTCTGCTGGGCAGCCAGCACTGAATCATGCAGTTCATATAAGATCAGGTTGGTATCTTTTGTTTGGCCTCTAAACATCATTTTTTAGTGGTCCAATAAAAGAAGGGAATGGTCAACCACTTCTGAGTACAGTGGTGCCTCGCTTAATGGGCACTCCATTTAGAGATGAAACCGCATAGTGACAAAGATTTTGCGATCGCAAAAGTGATCGCATTGCGATGTTTTAAATGGGTTTTTTTGCTTTGCGATGATCGGTTCCCTGTTTCGCTTACCAATCATTACAAAGGGATGATTTTTAACAGCTGATCGGCGGTTCCAAAATGGCCCCCAGGTTAAAAAAATGGCTGCCTGCTGTGTTTAGGGACGGATTCCTCGCTTAAGAGGCAGCGAAAATGGCCGCCGTATGGAGGATCTTAGCTTTAAGGTGAGTTTTAAGCCCATAGGAATGCATTAAACAGGTTTTAATGCATTTCTATGGGCTTTTTAAAATCGCATAGCGACAAAATCGCTTAGCAGTGATTTTTGCTGCACAGATTAATGTTGCTATGCGAGGCATCACTGTATTCTGTACCTGGAAAACCCCAAAGAAGGTTGCCATAAGTCCGAATAGACTTGGTGGCACATGATTATCAGTATTAATAAAATATATCACCTAATCTTACATTTGTGTAAGTTTGAGGACCACACAAGCTTTTCCCAATTCTTTCTGGACCATTTAGTTCATGTCACAATTGATTTCATAGTTCACAACTGTTTGGCTCACAGTTGCACAACTGGTTGTGCAGTTGACTTCAGGACTGTTGTATGACACACCTGGTTAAGTGTTTCATGGATATTGTTTCACTCACCCAAAGGCATAGACAGTACTGGAGTTGTAGTAAGGAGCCAGATCAGTGGCATGAATAAGTTCTTTCAGCTGTGAAGAAAACATGTTCAAATAACAACATGGAACTGGCATCTTCACAAAGAAATACTCTCCTTTCTCTTCTATAATACAACTTACATCCCATTTAGTGATGAATAATCTGGTTCTGATGAGAATTGCCATGCCATTTTATTGCCCCTGCTCCTGAGAGTCTTTAGTAAGAAAATCTTTCCTTGTTTGGGAAATTTAAAATGAGGCAGTGTGTGTGTGGCATCACATTCTTAACTTCTGCAGGGACATCACAATTGGACATAATTTGTGTTAACTATAGTTTCTTGCTTAAGTCATGAATTGCACTGTATACAACCAAACAAACAATGGATTGTATTTTCAATTCTGGTTTGTTTCATTCCCATCCATTTCAACTGCTATTGTCTAGTGTGAGACACTTGGAAACAAACCACAAACAAACCACAATTATAGGTTCTTTTAACACGACAAATTATTGTTTAAACAAACCACAGTTTGTTTTCTACAGCAAACAGTGGGTTCAGACTAGGATTTGCTGATTAACAAAACATGATTTTCTGGGAGAGAAGAGGTCACACAATAAGCTAGATTTCAATATCCCTCAACACAGAATGGCATGCAGAATTTGTCTCCATCTCCCCCATAGTGCAAAAGGCTAATATGAAAGCCAGTGACTTGAATACGGTGCAAAAGGCAGTGGGAGGGGGGGCTAATATGAAAGCCAGTGACTTGAATACCTGTTCCCACTAAACTGTCTAATACCCTCTAGTACTCATGAAGCTTTGCCCCACCATCTTCTGTGCCTTTGCTATCTCTGTCCAGAATGCTCTGGATTCCATCCGCCCATGATCCAGAGAATACTGCTGATTGAGGATCCGTAGGCTGCCAGAGTAGAAGTGCAGAGGACTTGACTCCAGATGACGTGGTCTGTAGTCTACAACAAGGAGATAGCTTGATTAGTTCTATATCTCAATAAAGGTATTGCTAAGATTATATAAGCTTAAAACAGGCTTAAGCTTTCCTCAATAAAGATATTGCTTATATAAGCTTAAAACAGGCTTAAGCTTTAAATTTTCTATCTTTCTATCCAGCCGTTCAATCCATTTGCCTACCTATGTATCTAGGCACCTTAGAACTACAATCAAGGCAGGAAATTTAGACAGCTTGGTACAACTGGGAGAATGAGCGCTGGTTTCCTGCTCAGAGGGAGTTAGTTCCTCTCTACTGTGTTTTAAGACCACCAGTATTCCTTTTCTTTTCTTTTAAATGGATGTTAGTTTCTATAGAAGTCAGCCCTTTCCTAATTAAGCATAATATTAAAATTCATAAAAAGAAATTGGAACATGTAATCTCATGCAACCATTTGAAATGCAACATTCTGTTCTACCATCTCAAGCCTCTGCCATTTTACTTCCAGAAAAAATCTGATGCATATGAAGAAAAGACCTTCATTCTAAGTAATTATACAATACTTGGCTTGCCATATAGTTAGGGTGGCCATGTGTCAGGCTGTACAAGTCGCACTACTCTGCTAAGAAACGGGTCTTCCTCCTCCTTTGTCCAATTCATGTCTGGCTTAAAGGTATATGGAAGGAAGAAGGAACAACCTCCAGGGCCTTGAAGTCACCCATCAACAGTGAGCCCCTGGACAGCAGATTGCACAAGCAACACACAGGTCCCTGAACCATGGTCTCTGCTGAGTTGAACTATATTTTGAGTCATATTATAGTAACTGATAAATCTGTATCTCAGCATATACAAATTGATGCCCTCTTTTTTGGTCATTAATCTCCTCTTTTTAAAAACAATATGGTAATGACTACCAGCACTCCCTCAAACTATTTTTAATTTGGAGAATGGCTGTAGCAGTCCTTTAGTCCCTTCTCCGCTCAACCACATCAAACAAAAGTTGACTTCATTGCATCAAGAGCAAGCTGGGAACGATGTTGTGAAGTGGTCCAAAGGCAGGTCCAGCATCATTGCCCAGACATATCCTTTTGAGAAACGTTTACTGCACTCATGCATTCACAGTGCTGCATCAGCAGCAACTAGCATAAACAAGAAGACAGCAGAAGAGAGATATTATTACCTAAGAAGTACCAAATTATTGCTCCAGTTCCACCCAAGAGCACCAAGACTACCCAAAGTGGAAGGCAGCGCTGGCAGTTACGAAGCCTGGTCTTCTGTCTCTCTTGAGGCAGTTCCATGGAATCCGTCTCCTGTTCTTCTGCCTCTGTCATGGGAATCTTGCCAACCAGCAAAGCAAGGATCAGATACATTACTTGTAGCTCAGGTGGGAGGAACCTCTTGTCCTTGGGCCTGACCTAGGGTGCAGAGGTCCCACAGCAAACCCCACTCATTCCATCAGCGTCTCCCCAAGCCCTGCCGCTGAGGACTGAACTGAAGGGAACCTCACTATCTCGGATCACTTCTTCCTCCATTCAGAAAAGGAGTGATGCTGGCCATGGTTTCAGCCAATGTTTGCAAATGCCAGCTATACTCCAGTAACTTGAGGTTCAGCTGATGCCTGCAAGCTCTGAAATCTTGCTGTCTAATGTAGTAAATTTGAACTAGAGTATTTCCACTGCTATCAGTGGGGATTTAATGAGTCAACTCCCTTATAAGTTCCATTGATTCAATGGGCCTACTCTAGTTGCAACTTACTGTGCTGAGAAACAGGATCTCAGCCATTACCTCACCTCTCCTCCCTCTTTCTCGACTACAGAAAAAATTCTGTCCAGCACTTCAGCCAGGGACCTGATGATACAATGACTAGCAATAGGGATATTCTTGTAAGTGAATACAAATATCTCTGACCCAGCTGTACCTAATGAGGGTCACACGTCCCAATACCACGAAGGTCCCGTTTTCCTGTCAGTGGTATCAGAAGCTCTGCTGTCTTGTGAATATGAATATCTCTGTCCCAGCTGCACCTAATGAGGGTCACACATCCCAATACCACAAAGGTCCCACTTTTCTTGTCAGTGGTATCAGAAGCTCTGCTGTCTTCCTGCTTGGGTGGCCACTCAGCAGCCATTCGAGGAGACTTGTCCTCCCACCTCCTGTCTGGAGTGGCCAGCCGAGCAGGGAGGCTGCAGAGTTCCTGACACCATTGACAGGAAGAGCGGGACTCTTGCGGTGTCGGGACACATGAGTGGACAGTCCGGACACAGGGGCTGGACCCTCATTAAGTCCAGCTGGGATGGGGATATTCACATGTGTTTGTATTTGTATTTGACCACATCCTTGACTTTCTCTGACCTGTAGAGAGGATATTTGGTTTCTTACCTAATTATGATTTCCCATTCACACTTTGTGGCACAGAGAGTAATGTGACTGAGTATATATGCTGGATATATGTCGGCATGTGACAGTCAACTAGGAAACAGCATGGTTGGTTTGTGTCAGGATCTGGCCCACATCACCCTGGCAGCTGCAGGATCAGGGCCGGCCTGACCCAGGAGTGGCCTGGTGTTTGCAGGCTCAGGCCCTGACCTGTGTAGCAGCTGCTGGGCCACTCATGAGGCTCACCTGGAAACCTGGAGGGAAGGCCTATTTAAGGCATGGTTCTCCCTCCCAGAACTAGCCTTGTAACAAAAGTCTTTGGTTGTGTTGACTGCCTTGCTGATCCTGGGCTCCAGAGTCCCTGTGTTCTAGTATTCCAGCACCTGCTTTTGTTCCTGCCTTGGTCCCTGCTCTTGCCTCCTGCCTCTCAGCACCTTGTCCAGGCTCCGTGTTCTCAGCCATGTGCTTCCTGCCTCTGCTTTGTCATGACCAACCATGCAGTGAATGCCTTTGGACTTGATACTCTGTGTAGTGGACTGGGTCCTGGTGCCCCTGCACCTGGTGAAGGGCTGCCTTGGATATCTTGGACTGTTGACAGTTTGCCAGATTTTCAAACTAAATGGTGCTATCTCCAGTTGATTTATATAAAGCAAATTATTTACCTCATTCAAGTTGGAATAAATAGATGGGCTTTTCCTCTTAAGGGTCCACTGCTTCTAGTTACAGAATCAGTGTCTCATGCTATAAAGCCATCAGACTGCAATTCTCACCAGCTTTAGCCAGCAAAGCCATTGAGATGGAATGGTGAGAATATCCAAGTCCAACAGCTCTTGGAGGGACACATGATGCCAATAAGTCAATTTCAAGGTGAGGCAGGAGTGAATACTAAGTCCTTGCCTAGAGCTCCAGGAAGTTTTGAACAGAGATCTATGCAGGCACGGGGCCATGTACAACAATATGACATAGAAACCACATAAAAGAATTATCCATAATGACCTTTCTCTAGTGCTGGCCCAAGAATATTTTGCTGCTGGAAGAACAAGAGGCATCCTATGTATAAAAGTCAGCTGGACTGGCTGTTTGCTTCAACACAGGTGATAGACCAGTATCCTACAGTGTACCTGAGGATAGCAGGATAGTTTAGTGGGCACAGGACAAGCCAGGTGACATACAGTTCTGTTCTCCTCACCTCACCATCCTCCTTAGCCATCTACCTTGTCCTATAGCTGCCTCACTTTTCCTAATATGTGAAAGCCTATGTACAATGAAAGAATGGAGGATTGAATAGATGGCTCAACAAAGGAAGTTAAATGTCAAGGATAAGGTATTCTGTGCCTTCTACTAGTCCCCCCTCCTGTCCTTTGGCACTGAACATTAGCCATCTAAATTTGCCATCCATTTCCAAGCACACAGGTGGTTGCTTCATTTTACCTAATTATAAGCCTAGTCCTGAATAAGTCTCAGGTGCCCTTCAAGTGAACATTTTGGTGTAAATAATCCTGTGAAAAAACTCAGGATGTTAATTGGTTCTTTGAATTTTGAGAGTGAGGAAACAAGCCAACAAAGCAAGCAGGTCTGTATACCACAGAGCAGAATTTGGAAACACTACCCCTTTTGAACTATAGCTACAAGGGACACACACACCTCAGCCAGCATTACCCAAGGATGTTGCTGCTCATAATCCTCAGTAGCTCTCTTTGTTTCTCACCCTTGAGGGTACCCACAATTCAGGCAAAAATGCACAGGGCTCTTATTCTGCCTCTCCAGTTAATATCCTGTGTTTCCTCATAGGGTTTATTTACATCAGTGTGTTCAGTTGAAGGGCACCTAAAACATACTCGGGACTGGACCTACAATTAAGTAAAGTGAACAACCCCCTAACCATTCATCCTTCTGAGGGAGCCCCATGGCTGTTCCTCTCTTTTGGGGGGTAAAGCTGGATATTTGGTAAAAGGTTACCTGTCAAACTAGCCTGGTGCTTTCATGTGTGGTTACAAAATGCTGCTCTGTCAGCACAATTGAAGGGAGAGCCCCCTGTCCAACGGGTCACCTTTTGTACACAGAATGGAAGACTGTGCCATTTTGTTTCTTGCCTTAGACAGCGAAATGTCTTTTTCTGGCTCTGATTTTCTAGTATAAGCTCCCAAACCCAAGCACCAGAAAACAGCACCCAAACCTTCACTCTTGCTAGAAAAGGGCACTTACCTTTGAAGTTTTCTGTTGCGTGGGTGACCTGGTGCGCTCTCACACAAAAGTGAAGGCACATATGTCCATATGTAAATACTGAGTGAGGTTTAATATTTACTCAGGCCCAAGGTCTTCCTGGCGGTCGGTCACCCAATCATCTCGCCTCTTCTTTTGTCCTTTTGCCCTACATGGAAAGCTTTGCTTGTCCCAAGACAAAATGAGCCCAAGTCACATGCTATCTTACAAAGAATTCTGTGCTGCTGAAAAGCAACGGACGCCCCATTGATGCTTGCCAAGTAAAGAGCATTCCCTTTACTTACTGGGTGTCTCATTCCATGGGAACATCATGAGAATCCTCTGTGTCAAATGCAAAAGCTCTCATAGTAGCCTTTGAACTGATTCTGAGGAATCAGAAGGCCCAAGAAGGAAACAACTTGGAGAACAGCCTGCAAGATGCAGGGTAGAAGATGCAGTGAGAAGAGCTGATTAACAGGCCACTTGTTCCCAATCATCTCCTCCCTCTGGTCTCACCCCCCTCGAGAGGGCTGCTGACTAGAGTTGCTCAGCAACTTTTCCCTGTCTTAGTTACACCTGTTTGTTTCAAGGGGATAAAATCAAAATCAGCCTGTATGAGGCAAAGATGAAAAATACAATCTGGTACTAAGAATGTGTGTATCTCCAAATTAAGGCTGCCAGGGTCCCTCCTCTGGAATAATTGCCCTGCATCTTTAACAGTTCTGTGGCAAACCATGTGCTAGATTCTTCAGTGGGAGCACAATCCCATCTGGAACAGGTTCCAATGCACCTCCTCCTAATTTTGGCAAATTTTGTTGCCTGCTGCAGTTCTTTCTCTCTTATCTGGAAGGTCCTTCTATCTTTCTGAAGGAAAAAGAGATGCCCTTCCCCACCACCATGAGCTGGTTACTTTTACTGACCTTGGGAGGGTGGAAGGCTGAGTGAACCTGAAACAGGCTACCTGATCCTGTCAGGATCGAACTCGGTTTGTGAGCAGAGTTTTTACTGCAGTTTTAACCACTGTGTCATGAGGTTCATTACCTGATAATTTAAATTTGTAGATGCATCTGCTTTCTTTTTGGTCTCTCTTTTTTTGTTGCACCCTGCACATGCTCAAGGGGTGATTCACATATTCCATCCTTTTAGTATTGTATACTCATTGTAACTAACTTAAATACTGTCTTTTAATTGTTGTGAGCTGCTTTGGGTCCTTTTTAATTAGAAAGGTGGGTTAAAATATGTTAAATAAATAATAATTCAGCCACAGAACTGCATGGTCAGCTCATAAATAATCATGTGCTGTCAAGTTAATCCTGATTTACGGCAACCCTTTTCAGGGCTTTCTAGGTAAAGAGTACTCAGAAATGGTTTGCCATTCCTTCTTGGTTGGCACTCTTGAGACTGTGCCGCTTGCCCAAGGCCACACAGGATGGCTCTGCTCACAGAAGGCACTGAGGGGATTGGAATTCCCAATCTCTGGGTCTGCAGCTAGATACCTAAACCTCTGAGCATCCAGTCAGCTGATCAGCTCATCATCTTCAAAAGTGAAACTAATTTTGAGGGGAAATTCTTGAGCAATTCCTTGTACCAGTGGTTTGATGATTCGCCTTTTCGCGTTCAGTACAAGCCCCAAAGAGTGCGATGACTAACACAACATAAAACAAGCGAGCTGCACTGAAAAATTAAATCAACTGTATTTAGCCCTTGTTTGTGCAATTTCAATGATTACCACTAGTGCCAGTAAATCTAACATGCTATGTACTTCCTGCCACTGTCCGAATTTTGTGTGATGTTTTCTATGTTTTCAGATATAAACAACTTACATATACTGTATAAACTAATTAGCTGAATTCATTTGCCAGAGCAAGGAGGATCAGTCAATGACAGTGATGTTTTGGCAGATGATGGCATCAGTCTTACTCTGAAAATAATAATAAAAAATAGAAATCCAAAAAATTCCAGCACTTGCATTTCCTGTTTTATTTTCCTTTCACTCCCCCATGTTTCACCAAGATCTAATCCAGTATCTTCTTGGATTCTACTCCTTGGGCAACAGTCCATTGGGCATGCTGTTGTAAGCTTGCACCCAGGGGGTATTCTGTATTCACTGGCTCAAGTGGATGCTCCCCCATCTGTTATTGTGCTATGGCAAATCAGACAATGTACAGGAGATCTGCAGGTAGAACAAAATGCTCCCCCACTCCAAACAGGATATTGGTCAACAGGTGTCCTTGTTGGAGATTAAATTAAACTTACATTTTAAAAATTCATTGGAGAGGATGTTGACTGCCTTAGCACCAGATAAACATGGCAGCCCTTGCAAAAGTTTTATTTTCTTCTGGAATTTATCTGATAGTCAAAGAAGAAAGGATGAACAGTGAATCCAGATATTCACAGCACATTTTTCATCACCATGGTATCCAAGTATGTGGAATAATACAAGGCGAAAATTAGACGCAGTTGGAAAGGAATGGCTCCCACCCTCTCATCCACTGAAGCTGATTTTGGTTCTCATCTGCCATGTTACCAAAGGGATGTGGTGCATCACTTTGAACACCATAAGCTAGGGGCCCTGGCCAGAGTGTCAAGGTATGGCTCAAAGGAAATGCTGCACATAACCAGTGGCATAATGGTAAATGGGAAATCCAGGTACTTCCAGAGGCACTTCCAATTTCCACAAGGGTTGCGTTGGACCACATCAACAAATGATGAGTTGGTCTTTTGTAAGCTGATACCTCTTAGCTGCTCCATTCAAGGCCAAAACAGCTTCAAATAACTTTGCAAAACCTGTCTCAGAGTGAGTTACTGAGACAAAAAAAGGAATGGACTCATCTGGGGAACTTGAAGCTATTCTGCTCTGTGAATCTCTGCATTTCTGCTGCACAGCTGGAGGAATTTAACAAAAACAAAATTTGAAACATTGCATCCACAGCAAAAGACAATATTTATCTCTATGTGTATAGCATTTTTATTTTATAGCTCTGACAGCATTGCTGAGACCTTGCAGAGGAGGGGAGATGCTGGCTAGGTGTTCAGACTTGTCACTGCTTCTTGTATTATTTTCACATCATGAATTACTGAGTTGATTTGAGGGTGCGTTTGCCCCATGTGCCAAATTTGCTAGTTATGGCTCTGTTGCCTTGTATTGCACACCTGTCTTCCGGGTGAACAGAATCACCCTGCCTGGGACAGCAGTTCAAGCACATTTTAGCGGTGAAAGGAAGGCTTGGATAAGGCAAGTAGGAACAAAATTGCCTTACACGGAGGCAGACCATTTGTCTAGCCCAGTACTTTCCATTCTGGTGGGCAGTAGTTCACCAGGATTTCAATCATGATACTTGCCTGGCTCTGCTAGGAGATCCTGGTATTCCCTGATGCACTTCTGTCTGAACCCTAACTAGACTCCATCAGGTAGAAGATGCAATAGCACTGTGGCCAGTTCTTCATTTTTGAAAATTCACAAACATTCTAACCCTGAGAATGGCCATCTGCTTGTGGCTACACTACAGATTTTAGCACTTCTAAAAAGTTACTTCAGGGGACCACAAATCCCAGAAACCTCCAGGCCACCCACCAAAAAAGAAAAAAAAAAGTTTACTTTTCCAACCTATGTCCAAATGTGGCAAGCCAATTGGGTTGCATTTTGCAACTACCTTTCTCTTGGACTTCTGGCCCAAAATCTTATCCTGACGGCACTGCTGTGGTTAGTAAACCCAGAGCCTTCTTCTACTGCTCTTGCCTCATCCATCTAGAGCAGTGGGTCCCAACCTTGGGCCTCAAAGAAAAAAAAAAGTTTACTTTTCCAACCTATGTCCAAATGTGGCAAGCCAATTGGGTTGCATTTTGCAACTACCTTTCTCTTGGACTTCTGGCCCAAAATCTTATCCTGACGGCACTGCTGTGGTTAGTAAACCCAGAGCCTTCTTCTACTGCTCTTGCCTCATCCATCTAGAGCAGTGGGTCCCAACCTTGGGCCTCCAGATGTTTTTGGACTATAACTCCCAGAAGTCTTTACCACCACCTCTGCTGGCCAGGATTTCTGGGAGTTGAAGTCCAAAAACATCTGGAGGCCCAAGGTTGGGGACCGCTGATCTAGAGCAGTGGGTCCCAACCGTTTTGACACCAGGGCCCGGTTTAGCTGAAGACCATAAGCTCAAGGACTATGTGTGTGCGTTTGTCCATGAAAGCCCAAGGACTATGTGTGTGCGTTTGTCCATGAGTGTGGGGGCCTGGAGTGCATTTGTGCATGCGTGCGGGGCTGGCTGCTTGGGTGCATGCATGCAGGAGGCAGGCAGGGGTTGCGGGCATGTGGGTGGGAGTGCGTGCGCACACAAATGTGTGCACATGCATTCCTTCAACCCTCGAAAATCTGTCTTGGCGGCCTGGTCCATCCAAGGCCACAGACTGAGATTAGTCCGCAGACCGGGGGTTGGGAACCCCTGATCTAGAATATGTCATCTGGAACCCAGCTGAGCAAACATCTGCAGCCCACCAGATGTTGCTGAGCTGTACATCAGCCCCAGCCATTGGCAACATGGAGGGATGCTGGAAGCCGTTGTCAAACAATATGTGGAGGGCTACAGTGTGTGTTACCCCTGCTGTGCAGTTATCAACTGCTACTAAAGGCTTGGAGAGGCTGCCCCCTGTTCCCACCACAAATGCTAATGTGTCTCTCCTGATATTGAACCTTCCTGGGCACTTTAATTGCAAACCTTTTTGTGACTCACTCTTGACTGAAAAGTGGAGAATAAAAATATACTCTTGGTATTAGTGCCACAATTTAAAAATAGCAACAATTCTGCACATTCATGTACAATATATGAAGGTAAGAATGTTCATGTGCCTGAGGTAGCACATGTATAATCCATCTGTTTAGAAACCTCCTCGGTGTGGTCTGGATTTTTTTTTAAAAAAAAAACAACACATAAACAATGGGGATCCTCCTAGGAGTATGTCAGTTTTTGATTAGATTTTCCAGCCGCAGGTGTGGCTCCAAGGATTTTACATTGGCTTTCAGGGCAGAAGAAGATATCAGATAGAGTGCTGTCTACAAATGCTGGCTAGCTGGTCCTTTCTTCT